TCATACAGAGTCCTGCCGTGCAATAAAGTTATCCAACCTTTTTGGGAAGCCTTGTCTTCTAGCTTGCTGAGGACGGTAGTTAACCAGGAGCTACAAGTTTGGCACAGAAGTTGCTTTACTGCTTCACTAGACAGCTTTTAACTTCACTTCATAATCTTAACAAGTAGTTAAAACATACAACTAAATTGGATTATTACATCTCACTTTTATGGACAAAAGTAAAGAGCTGCATGAGCTTGCTCTGAAGTTGTTTTTGTGATCTAAGTACATTCATTAATGGAATTGTCAAAAGGAACTTCTGCTAGAGTAAATGTTAGGCCTGCCACAGGTGAATGGTTGTTTGACCTCATAGGATACTTGTTCAGTCAACAGTTTTAAAGTAAGTGCTTAGGTATTTAACACAACATAATTAGTGTAATAAACACCTTTCTCCAAAAGGAGGGGTGGAAAACTGGTAAGAAGCTTATCTAAAGCATAAGAAACAGGACAGACAAATTGTACTGTCACTGCTCTAACTTCACTTTTTTGATAGTTGTGAATGTTTTTATGTGAATAAAATGCCTCATGCCGCATTACATGTTTAACTGCAAAAGGTGAGTTTGATTTTTGTTTTTCTTGCTGTGAATGTTCTCATCTTCATTCTTGTTATCTGTTTAAATCAATTAAAGTTATGATTAAATTAACTATTTCAGAATGATTTGCTTTTTTTGCCTTGTAATAGTGCAATTGCATGGTGAGCTGTGGTTTAATTCATTTATCTTAATTTCTAGAAATCATAACAACAGATACAGGCATAAGGTCAGAGTTGGGGGCATCAGGCTTAGCTGCTGTTTCAGGTACAGTATGGAATAATTTGGCCACAGATAAATGACAGTGCTTTCTGTATTCTAGACAGTTCCAGGGATTTGGTTCTGGGTGGTGTGGATTGAATCGGGGCTATCCAGCCTTTCTTAGCTCTGATACCCACTTACAGAAATGTGAATGACCAAAGACTGTGCATCAGTGAAGCCTGCTTATCAGTCTGGGAAGTAACCGTGTTGGCTTCTTAATCTTGCCACTTAGTTTGTTCTGTCTTGCACTTGAAAAGCCTTGTGTCTTTGCAACTAAACTTTTGCAATTGGAGTACTTTATTCCTTTTGTGCCTTTGAAAATTACAGTTCAGCTCTGGCTTTGAGTGACTTCAACACTTGGCCTGGCTACCAGTTCAGGCTGTGTGCCCACTGAAAGGTGCTGATGTAGTCAATGTTTTACTGGTGTGTATATATAATATGGTGTGCTACATTGTGCAGATGTGTGCAACTGAGGTAACTAGAGATCTTACTCTTCTGCAGTGTTCTAGTATTCAGAGGACATGGTACAATGCCAAATCCTTTCTGGTGTGCACTACTACAGTGAATGTAGCATTCTCGTACGGACTGTGTTCGTGTTTAGAATCATGTGGATGAAGAAAATAAAACTTAAATCTGAATAACAAGGTTTTTTGATGTAGGAAGCAAACAGTGATACTTGAAGGTATTATTTCTGAGCACTTTGTGGAGAGTAAGAAATGCTCCCTATAAGAAAAATCTCATAAGACCCTTCTTAGTTCTACTAGTTCATCCTAGAATACTTATCTAATAGAAAGCATGTTTTCCTTTTAGTGAATTTCCACTAATGTTACATTTGTTTTCCTTACTCATTTGATCAGTTTAGCTGTAAGCAGTCAGAAGCCTGATAATGCTGGTTGCACTTAAAATTGTTGGAAGTACAGATACCTTTATCTGAATAGGTCTTTAAATTTAAGCTGAAGTGTGAGGGCAGAACTCTCAGACAAGGACTGAATTGTTGCCCACAGATTTGGGATAATGAGGTCATTCTGCAGCAAGACCTAACAGCACCTTATTGGATTGCAGATAAGTAACTTTTTAAGAGTAGTATAAACACAATGTGTGAAAGGAATTCAGAGAGAAGCTTTAAAGTTGAAGCTCTTTGAACCTTCAAATTCCTCTCAAATACGTTCGATCAGAAACGTGTGTTAACAGTTTGCCAATGAGACTAATTTCCAGCTAGAACCAAATAGCTGAGAATGGAGCTAGAACTTCCAGTCTTACCCAATGTAAAAAGTCTGAAATCCCTCAAGTTTTGCTGCCAAGAGTTAACTCTGGCTATTCATTAGCTGCCTTTGAAATTCAAGTAAAAACTAGCTGCTTCAGAGTCGGGACTGTGTCTCTGAGGATGCAATTCCGTATCTCATGTAGAATGAGCTCTAACTCATTTGAAGCAGTAGACTTCAGTCAACTGTAAATGCTTTGCAGCATGGCTTGAGATCAAGCTGAGCAGAATATTGGGAAAACTGTTCTCCTTGACCGTCTGCACAGCTGCAAATGGAAGTGTGCTCTTATCTCTGTGTAAGAGGGCATGAAGTGTGACTAAAAACTGAATCATATGTGAACTTCCAGTCACCTACAAGGGTGAAGGCATGCCCAAGTACTTCCTGTAGCCCTGCAGATCAGCCTGCAACTGTATGGAACTTGATACTGGTGTCTGTAGTGTCTTTGAAAAATAAGTAAACTACTACTGTTTCTTTTTGGAGGATGAGGGGAAGTATTCCTGAAAGAACTTGGGAACTCAACTGTATCTTGGGTAACGAGTCATGAGTAACCTGCAGTCATTCAGGCAGAGGAAGTCTGGATGGTACAGTCTCTCATCCCATATATTGCTGGTTTAGAGCAGACATTCCTCAGTTGGGCTGCAGGGTTATGTTTAAAGCTTTCTGTTGAGCTGAATTGGATTTTGTTGGAATGATACCTGGTGCTATTGGGACTGTTATTTTCCAAATGCAGGGCTTGGAGCTCTAGGCTGCTGTGATGTTTCAAAGCTGTCTGGGACAGTCACGACACTGGCTAACTGTTTGCTTTCTTGTGGGGCCTGCTGAAGGAACTTTTTTCAGTAAGAACTATTTCAGTTGCAGTACTAACTTAGCAAATCCTTTTTCTTGCAGAACAGTAATCCTTGTTTTGAAAAGTACAGTATAGTGAATGCATCCCTCTGTAACTCACACCCACTTCCTTCAGTATTAAGAACAAAACAACACATACTTAATATAATACAGCAGCTTAGTTTATTTGGAAATACATTTAACTTTGCTGAAGAGTCAGCAGACCTCGGGGAAGGGTACAAGAGAACTATTTGCTGGTAGAACGACTGATCAGTACAAATAGCACTTTCACTTTTTTCATTGCAAACTGAGATCCTTCCCAGAGCTTAGTCGTGTTTACCAGCTCACAGAGAAGTGTTAAATCAACCTCTGACTTCCTTCTCTCTGATGCCTTGCTGCCTTTTTGGCTGGATGAACAGCCAGAACTTCAAGAAAAGGTTTTAGGTACTTTGGTCAAATAAGTTTCCTTTTTGCAGACAGTAACAGGCATTGGAGAATTGGCTCTGAAATGATGGCAGGTGCCTTGTATGGCCACCTAAATGTTCTTGTCTTAAGTTTTCTGCTGATTTTGAACTGGGGGGGTGTGCACACTGTTCTGTGTTCATTGGGTCATGGAAGCTATGATGCCTGAGGGTAAGTACTGTATTTTTCGTCTCATTTCTTATCACAAAGACCAAGATTTCTGCACAATTCCCAAGTTTAATTTGTTTAATCACAGCTGTTGTTTGTTTCAAACCACCAGGGCTCTGCTGTGTTCTGGATGGGCAGCACTGTGTGCCAGTGCTGCTGACCCCAGCTGAGAACTCAGTCTCTTTTATGAAAGAAAATAACTTTATTGTGAAGCAGCACTGCAAACTCCCCATCCAAAAGAGCTACATAAATCCTTTCAGTCAAGGTACTGCTTCTGGAAATAAAGTTTACTTTCATTAATACTGCTGTTTATCAAGTCCCTCAGGGTGTATCATGTTCACATTTATTGGGCTTTTCCTTCATTTTAATTGGAGAGCTTTGTAGTCATGCCTGCTGAATCCCAGCACTGTGTAGCTTTATTTTATGTCAGTGAAATTTTAAATACATACTTATGTTTTGCTGATTGCTTTTTCTTCTTAAGGGAGTGGTGGTAGGCAGCTGTGTGGCACATAGGACTTACCCTGGTCATCAGCACAGCCTGATTTAGTCTTGTCACTCAATGTTTCTTGTAACTCTTATGTTTCTAAGTCACCTCTTGTCTTCTGATACCTGTATGTGAATCCCTTCACTTACTAGCATTTGCAGTGTAACAGTGGACCCTTCTAAGGCTTCACTACAAGTTGTAATTTTTTCCAACTTCCCTTTGACTTTGTGATGTAACACATCTATACCCTAAGACATCAGGAATTATCAGCATCTTAATAGGGTACCAGCAAATTCTGCTGAACTGACCAGAAGTCAGTGATCATTCCTTGCCCTCCCATGTGCCTATTTTCCCCTATAGGCAAAGCAATCCCACTCAGAACTCCCATAAGTACCTGGGCACTATACAGCCTCCAACTCATACCAGACAGAGTAGCTGTTAACAGCTACAGAGCCTTATATGCTGTGTATCAGCAAGGGTGTCCAACTGTATTTGACTATTCAGTCTTGGATATGTTTTCTTCTCACAACTTTGTTCAAAGTATTTTATGTGTTTCATGTCTTAGTGGAAACCTTTGGTGTTATTTCTTCCTCAACCCTTAAAGCTTAAGTATTTTGTCACTGCCAGTCCTGTGTCACAAGTGAGTCTGCAGTGATTCTGGAAATGCAGATGTTCTTCAGTGAACCAGTCCAATTCTAGAGAGTTGTTTTTAATTTGTACAAGAACACTTTGATTTACTTTTGATGGTGTTTCTCCTCAAAACTTGGTAAGATACTTTCTCTAAAAACGTGTCTATTCTTTTTGGGTAGCTCTGCTGTTGGTATTTTTTACCTTCACACATAACTGTGGTTCTTTTGTATACAAGTGCACATCTAACTTGGCTGGTTTTGCAAAGTTGAAGTTACTCTTCAAAACTTTCTTATTTGAAGGACTATCAGTTTGTTACTTCTAAGCCTGAGATTGTTTTCACATCATATCATGTACATTTATTTTACTATTTACACCTATCACAATACACTTATATGGAATAGTCACACATACCAGCTACTGACAGCTAATATTAGATTCTACAAGGTTTAATCTGCATAGAGACCAGAAATGCATTAAATGGAGAAACACAAAAGTCTTTCTGTATTGCCCTTAATTCTAAACCTATTTTGTGTAGAATATGATCACCTTCATACCACAAGTATCTGCTTCTGTATTCTTATATTTGTCTTGTGGCCAATTTGTATTGGGTGGCTAATGTCTCCCCATGCTTGATAGTTTCTATTTCTCTCATGGTCATTAATTATGCAATTAATAGTTGGTTTTAAGCTATTAGTTAAATGTTGTTTCTATGTTGGTGTGTTCAGCTCTTCTCCCAGCAGCCCACCACTGGCAGGTAATTTCATAATGCATACAACTTCAGGCAAAAAATTTTGCAATTACCTCTTTGAGTGTGTGAGGTGGAGAGCTATGAGATAAATAAGACAGCTGGAATAATCCTTTACTTACCCATCACTGTAGCTGTGCTTTCTAGAGCTTTACCAACACTTATTTTCCCCAGTGAAAGCATATTTGATTTGAGTAACTCAGAAATCAGAGAGTATAAGATCTATATCTACTTGCAGCATCCTTGTTACTGACACTTAGTCTTGGGGAAACAATTCCAAGTGAAACTTCACAGCAAAGTAGTTAACTTACAAGCTAGTGTGATGCTTATTTTGCATGTAACATTAGTTACCCTAAAATTGTTCAATTTAATCTATTGGTTGTCCTACATACTGCAGTGCCATTTGTGGCTCTTATTTTAAGAAGTAGCCAAAATAGAATATTCCAGCAAATGTGAGAGGGGAAAGGTATACAACAAATTCTTATAAAGTGACCTATTAAAATTGCTTTTTTACACATTACTTGATGAAACTTCTTTCACTTGTATCACAGGGATATTTTTGTTAACACTATTACAGATCTCTTCTGGTCACTGGACAGCCACTATATGGATTTCTTGCTTTTTTAGGCATGCGTGTGGAGTGATCCATGCAACAGTGAAGAACCTGCCATTGTACATTCCGTGTATTACAGCTGTACCACAGTTGATCTTCATTCATTTAGTGGGATGCTGTTAAATGCCTCTACCCTACAGTTTCCTTCAATGAAAACATCTGAAAAGACAACAAACATGGTAGAGAGCCCAGAGCTACATGATGCTGCATTGTGTGGCTCCACAGCAATCTTTAATGATGGCCAATCCTGCCTTGGCAATGGCGGGCTTGCTTGGAGGAGGTTCTGCCTTCTTTTCTGTTGGGCTGCCTGCAGTGTTCAAAACAGGACACCATTACAATCAAGCTATTCCTTCCTGCTTCTGGCTTCAAGTACAAACTAATTATTCTCCCTATCTACCTCCAAACCTTTTAAATTTCTGTTTCAGTGATAATATTCAAGATGCCTTATCCATTCCAGGGAAGGAACTAGGAAGGGTTAAAGAATCCAGACATCCCTAAGGATGAGCTGCTTGCGTCTCCAGTCCAGGTACTCATATTCACAGATGCATGGTCAGATAAAAGGTCCTCCCACTAGAATCACTTACTGTACTGAGCATCTCTAAACTCAGAGCTGAAGAATCTTAGTAAAGGTTATTCTCTCAAACTTGGATGCCCTAACTAGGAGAACAAGAAAAAGGCAGGCTTCCATTTTTGGGGGGGTTGAAAAGAACTATAATTCTAACATTGTATTTTAACAATGAAGATAAGTCATGCTAAAAGGATAAAAATAATTAGTGATGGATCTTGAAAATGTTTCTGCAAACCTCATACTTCAGTCATTGCATGTTTTCCTGAATGTTCTATAGCAAGGTGTTGATCTATGCAAAGTGGTGGTGTTTGGGTACTAAACCTCTTCAGCGTGGGACCAAATTTACCATCCATGGACACTGCTCTCACTTAACCATTTCCATGTTTGACAGGTGAAAATCAATCTAGTAATTCCTTTTAAAATTTCTGCTGTGACAACTTTGTGTGAAAATTGGAGCTAAAAGCTTCCCAGGGATCAGGAAATGTGTGTTTGTAGTACTATCTGTAATCAATTTGGTTGAGTTAACTGAAGTTTATTTTTGGTGGTAAGAATGCAGGAGACTTGGGTCAGCTGTTGAAGTTTAAAAAAAAGATTTGCAATTATACATCTTGCCAGCTGTAAAGCAGACAGTCTTGACTTCAGATATCCTAGCATGTATCATGTGAGGGTTTCCAGACATTTTTGTGAAGCCAGAAGGGAAAATGATTGGAGGAAAAAAATGCCAACAACCAGTTGCTTACAAAAGCAGGTTGTGGTAATATGCATATACCAATATAATTTGCATATTTAAAATGTAAAAAGCAGTCTTTTAGTGGCTGTATGTGATGTGGATTCAGTTTTAAGGGGTAACTGGGCATCCTAATTCTAAGTGGCTGTAGTCTAGGTTTGGCAGTGGTTGGCCCAACATATCCATTGATAACACCCTTATATCCAGATGTCCTTGGGATTATTCCTATTGTTTTTCTTAATGTTTAGGAACTCACTGGTAAGAGACTGTGTTGCTTTGTCTAAGGGTTTTAACTTAGTACGTAAGAATTCAGCCATCTCCTTGTCTTCTTCTTTCTCTCTGGAAAAAAAAAGGAAGTATGTTACAGGTATTTCTTTGCAAACAGGACAGTAAAAGCCTTAACAGCTATGATCAGATCACTAGTAAATGGGGGGCTTTGTTCTTGTCAAACACTTTTTTTTTTTTTGCTGCTTATTAAAGCACAATAGTTGCCTAAATGAAAACATGAATGAGCCTCTTGAATTCAAAGAAAATTTTCCCCAAAGCTCTTTACTAACAGCGTTGGATTTGCTATATTCTCTGATCAGTGGATCTAAACCATAAAGCATCATCAGTTTTTAAGATGGCCTCAAAGTCATTCATCCTTTCTCTACAAAGTAAAGCAGAGGATACAAACATGCTATAAAAATGCTTAATTTAAATGTCAACTTTAAACAAAAACAAAATGAGATCTTAATTCTTCTACTGCCACAGTCTTCACCAAAACAAAGTATGGTTCTGTTTCCACAAGGGCCACAATATTAGGCTGAAACTGGGCAAAAGATTAAGTTGCTGTCCTTGATAGCCTTCTAATAATGACGTTTTTGTGTTAGTTTCTGTTAGCTTATTTAAACACTAACAATGGGAGCACTGTTGGAGTATTTCAGAGTAAAAGCAGACTATTGTCCAAAGTTTTAAAGCAAAGCATCAGGTATTACTGCAACAGCAAATCAACAATAATGTAGCCACATGTGCCCAGTGCATGGCACTATGCTTTCAGGAGCCTACAACTAGGTTTCTGTAGTGTCTGGCTGCTGCCAGCATTTGTGATTTGCACATTGTACCAGCTCTGGATTACATTATCAGCTCAGGCTTTTTGTCAGCCTGCTGCCTTTGGCCTGCTCTCTGTGATCAACTGCAGGACTGGCAGGCTTTCTTCCCTCTGGTCCTTTGCCTGCTTAGAATTTAAATGTGTTGGAAGAGATACTGTCATTCATGCTAAATGGGCTGATGGAGCCTTGAATCATTACTGCTGAATTAAAGGGTGGGGGGGGGGGGGAGAAACAGCAAAATCCTGACTATTTATGTGACATTGGAATTCAGCACAGCAGCTCAAAATCAGCTGTATAGGAAGACTATGACTCTGGGCTGAGATTCCCAACTCACTTACCCTTTAGGTTAGGTAGACCTATATTAGCAATTGCATTTCCATTTTTTTTTTTTAATGCTGCAGCAGGGAAGGAATAGTGAGAGTGAACTTTGTATTTAAAAAAACTAATGATGGTAATTGAGATGTCTGCACCTGTGCTCCTTTCAGAGTTCTATTTCACACCTACTGCCAGTGACAAGATCCTCTGGCAGCTGTGACAATCCTTCCATTTGTAATGGTAAATGCCCAGTCATATTCTGATAAGAAAATGTCTAAACCCCTCTGTCATTATGGGATGTCAAGTAGGACACTTATGGCATGGAGAGCAGAAGTGCAGAATTTAGTTTTTTGTGTTTTCCTTTTTCCACAGAATAAGGCAGAAGCCTTTAATTTGGTAACTGGTTTTAAAGGACCAATTCTCTCTTGTCAGTATAAATGTTCTCACTCACTCCAGTGCAGAATTAGGCTCATGAAATCTTGAGTGTGAATTTGGTGGCTTTTAGTTCTTACCGTAATCTCTCCACCTCTGCATCATCTACAAGAAAATCTCTTTTTTGCACCAGTCTATGAATCTTCTGAATCAGTTCATCTTCTCTTTGTTTCTCCATCTTTGTTTTTTCTTTTTCTGGTCAAAAATAGGGCAGGGAGGAGAAAGACTGTTACTTCAGATTCCAGGAAGCTGGGCAGAGGAACTGCAGCTGTCTAAGAAAGTTTTGGTGATGGAAGTCTGTGACTCTGCAGAACCTTCAAGTTCTGTCTGCTCTTTTCTTTCTTCTACTTACCATCTCTTGTGCAGTTAGTGAGCTACAGTCTTTGTGAAAGGCTTGTCAAGGCTATTACTTTTAATGCTAAATTACTCTATAAGGCGTTACTTTGATATTTTGCTATCTTTTTAAAGAAGTGTTTTGGCTTTAAAACAAAGAACCGAGAACAGAAAATGCCCAACACCTCCAGTAACAGAAAAAAAAATGGTCCATTTTTTCACTAAAATACACCAGCTCCTCTTAATCTCAGGGAAGATGAGAACACTCCAAAAGGAACAATTTCTCTCTATTTCATGCCAGAATTTCATGCCAGACAGAGCCATCATAAAATAAAATCTGGCTACAAGGTATCTGCTCTTTCCACTGTGGATAATAGGAGTTACTCTCCACTTCTTTTCCATCTGCCCTCTTCATGGACTGTGAAATGTGCTTTCTCATTCCCCTTCTCTCTTTAGAAAACCAGCTGCCGAATGCCTGAAATGCACTCATGCTGTATTGTGGCATAGTACCATAAACTAAAAGCCTCATGTTGACTGCAATCTACTAACTCACATCCACTGAAACCAAAGAGCAGGGCCCTGCACAGATCTGTAGTGAAAGGAAAATTCTGATTCAGGTGCTACGAATGAACCCACTTCTGGAAAGTGGTTTTTCTAGGTTAGGTACACACTATGTAAGCACTCTGTTTTGTGGGAATGCCAGCACAGCCTTCATTAAGGTGAAAGTATTCTTGCCAAAAGGTGGTGCTGCTGGAACTGCTCAGATTTAAATTCTGAACTTTTGCTGATATCTGCGTATTGCTGAGGAGAAACTGTTGTCTGTTGATCTCTGCTTAACACTTTGTGACTGAAAAACAGTTTCCAAAAGGTTATTGGGAAAAACAGACAAACAGATCATTGCATACAAAACCCTCAAATTGATTAACCTTAGGAATTAGGTAGAAGATAAACAGGTTAAGAAAATTGCAGACCAGAAGAGGTGAGGCAAGGGTACTCATGCACAGCTATTTTCCATCACTCAGAATCCTTTCCCACCTCATTTAAAAACCAACGATGAACCAACACCGTTGTTACAAATCCAGTGCAACCTCTAAGTAAACAAGAAGGGGAATACAAGCAACATTGTGAATATACTTCGTTGAGTGCAGAGAAAAATGAAAGAGTTCTTATCTAAATGAGAATATGTGGACTCTGAGAGAGAAAAATGGACTTTTTTTAATTTCATGATCGACCTGTTCTCTCCTTCCAGGGGAGAATGCTGTTTAAAGCTGCACAATAAAACGTAGGGGGAAGAGGTGAGCATAATGAAAGGAGTGTGAAAACCAGTCCTTTGCAGTGAGATAGCAACAGATCACTTCTGAGAGGTGCTAAACGTGGAGGATAATGTAGATAGCCTGGTGAAGCTTCCCAGTGTTTTCAAAATCTATCTGCAAAACACTCCAAGCAGAGCAGGACTGTTGTGGATGATCTAAAACAGCAAAGCTGTAGCAGAGCACAACTTCTCATTGATTTCAGCTGGAGTTTGGATGTGAGGATTGTAAAACTGCACACAACTCCATCCCTTGTCTGAGCAGTGTATTTGTAGTAAATTTAAGGCAGAATGTAAAGCATGCTTTTGCCTCTTGCTTTTTGTATGATCCTTTTTCCTTTTACTCTGGAAGGTAGATTTAACAACAGCTGTGCCAATGAATTGGTATATCTGGGAAAAAATCCCTCATTCACAGTAATGGTTTTAAATCCTCCATTCTCTCTTTTATCTCAACCCTCTCTTTTATGCTTGACAATCTCCATGCCGGTTGGCTCCCTCGAGATTCCCAAGGGAGTGCAAGAGCAAGGGAACGTGTACCTTATTTGAGTGATATCTGCAGGTTTGCCATCAAGGGAGCAGTGAAACACAGCATGAAAACAACTGTGGATGCCAGAAGATTAAAGATAAGAAGGCAAAGAGAAATAAAAATAAGGACCAGAGGAATAAGAAAATGTATGAAGACAGGCTATGCAAAACAGCCCTGGGGGGAGGTTTCTGATGTGCTAAGAGCAGAGGTGTGCTCCTGAAACCATCCCCTGCATTGCCCAAGTATTATCCTGATATTGAGTTAGAGACAGTCATTACCTGGGATAGCTACCAAGCTCTGCAGCTCCTTCTTAAGGTTCATAATGTCTTTGCACAGCTGGATGTCATCCATCCTGCAGAAAGAGAAAAAACACAGTCAGAGACATGCAAAGCCCATCCCGTGTTGACAGAACTAGATGGATCTCATACAACACGTGTACTGTTCCTTTCCTGGGATATGTGTACCAGATTGAAGGGTTGGGCTTTAACCTTGGGATTCTTATGCAGTTCGTTCACCAACTGTAACAGATAGGGACTATAGTACAGATTTTGCTGTTGAGCCTTTGGTTACTTGTCTTACTGGGATCTGATTTGTGTGAAGGTCAAACTTGTCACTGCAGATTATTTTAGTTGTATCTTGAATCAAACCTTACAGAGCAGGTATCTATGTATTTAATAGTTATGGAAAAGATTGGTGTGCTATGCTGCAAGCATTGCAGCAACAATTTTCACTGGGAAAAGGGCAAGAGGGAGAGCAGCAGTGGTCCTGGGAAGGGGCAGCAGAAGCTGGTGTGGTATTTGGCACAGCCAGAATGAGGTTTACTTTCCACTACTGATTTTCTTTGTGACCTTACTAATAACCTAGTTCTCAAAGTTAGCAAGGTTCCGCACTGTCTTTCTAGCAAGCATTCTATTTTATTGCTTGAGTCACACTGGCAGCCAAGGCTCGTGTACTTGTTCTCAGGGCTGCATCATGGGCTTCCATTGGAAATCACACCAGAAGAGCACAGAAAGAGCCCATTTAATTAACTGTACATGTTTCAACTCAGCTGTCACCAATATTATTCTTGTCTGCACAGATCTGTGAGTCGTTCTTCTATAATCCTGTGCTTGAAGGGTGGTTTGCCTGTTGTCTGAGCACCCAAAGAAAGCTGAAGTGCTATCAGAGCTTGGGTTGTTACAATGCTATTCCAAGATAGGAAACCCGAGGTATTAGAGCATGCGTGTAAGAGTGAGTGAGTGCACAAAGGATAATGCAGTCAAATTACAGAATTAAGTGAAAAGTGGAAAAAGTAGGTGTGTCTGACACAAATAAGATTTTAATCACAACCTAAGACATAATTCTCCCTGCTACCTCTGCATGGAATGCAGGTCTCCATGGGAAGCCGGCCCTCAGATGCTTTGCTCATGTTATTAGAACGTTCTGATCCTTTTCTTACTTGCTGCTTTGCTTAACTCCATTTTGCCAGTTCCCTTCCATTCATTGTGCTATGACAGCTGTTTCTACTATCTTTTTTACTTCTCTCTTCCCCAGATGTCACAGTGAAATGCCTCTCATAAAATTCTTTATTGCTAACCTCCTGATTTAGGGGCTCGGGCACTGTTCTGGACTTCCAGAAGTCTTTGAGATAATAAAAGTTTAATTGTCTCTCAAGGCATTGCACTCCTGCTATGCATCTGGATTACAAGGCTTGCTGTTATTGGCAAGATGAGCATGCTATCCTCAAGGCTAGCACATGGTTCACTGCCATGTATGTTCAGCACACCTGGTGGCAGAGACCTTAATACAAAGGATTTTTCTTACTTGGACTCCTCATATTCACACTGATCACGATCACTGTTCTACTTTTGAGATCCATCATGCTAAATGGTACTGAAATGGCTCCTATCAATTAACAATCTTAAACACTGTCCCCTCGGGAGAATCAGTATTCAAACTGTGCTGGGATGTGAGCAAGCCACGCAGCTCCTTATTCATTCAACGTTCATGTCGTTTGGGTGTCATGTTAATATAATGAGTGTTAATATATTTGAAGAAAATGGCCGTGATTAACAGAAAGAAGATAGTTTTTGGCAAGAAACGTTCACTATTGAACTGCTGTATTCAAATAGCTGAGGGTCAGACCCTCAACTAGTGAAGAGAACAGTGAGTTTCTACTTTTTTCCTTTGAGGAAGTTTGGGCCCCGTTCTGGAAAGATCTGAAAGATGCTATTACTTCACTGCCTCAGCTTGGCTCTCTGCCTTCTCAAGAAACTCCAAAAGCTAATGCCATTGCATTAAAATACCACTGGCAGTATGTTCCAAGTGAGCAAAATCATCTACGTCTGGGAGTCCCTGTGGAGTCCCTGTGCTCCATATTACCTATTGGTGGGAAAAGTACAGGCTTTATACTCTTTCAGCAATTGTAGATGCAATTGCCCCCACTATTTTAGGTTTCTTTTTTTCTTTTCCACCTGACTGCAGAGAGTAAATTTTGCACTCTCCATATGCATTCTTTGCATTTCGTTCTCCTGTCTCATAACTCACAGGAGAGAAGTGAAAATGTGGCCAAGCTCCTAGGGGCTGCAGCAGCTCTGTGACAACCTCAATTCCAAAAGTCACGCTCCAGGTGACTTCTCCAGAGTCCCAGTTCCATAGACCAGTGCATTCTGATGATGGCCAAAGATTCAATTGACCATCTGTACCAATCCCTTAGGCACACAGAACATCTTTCCTCCCATCTGTGTCAAACAGCCTTTGTGTTTCTCATCCACTCCCTGGTGCCCATTAGGAAAAAAAGAAAAGAAAAAAAAAAAAAAAAGAAAAAAAAAAAGATATTACTTTAAAACTACTAAAGGAGGGATATGGGATATACTCATAGACACCGTATGAAGGCATCATCCATCTGACTTAATGAAAGCAGAAAGAATAGCCATTTTTCACTAAAAAACATTCCTAGCAATTAACACTGTATGTAGGGCAGCAACTGATGTCCTGGGCAAGGGTCACCTCTCTCCTCTCAAAGAAAAAGGAAAAGAACAAGGACTCATGAGGAAGAAAGCCCTTGGAAGGCTGTTTAATCCAGTCTGTTACTATGAACCTCCTTCTCTTTTCCCCTTTGTGCTCTGGTTCTTGTGCTGGATAGTCAGGGTTTGATGGAGAGTATATTTGTAGTGCTGTCAGACCTCTCAAGGAAGTATAAAAAGAGCTCTGGCAATCTTAAAGAGAGCAGGAATACACATAGCACGGAAAACAAAAACCCTTTGGGTCCCTTAACCTTTTACAGAGAAGCTGGAGAGACATGCTGAGACTATTCTGTGGCACTTGATGTTCCATGTTGTAAGTGCGATCCATCAGATTGCAAGATGGACAGGAGGGAAAGCTGCACAGACTACTGTCCAGCTTATTTAAGAGCACTGCTATGTTCCCTGTGCACCCAGTGCTCTTCTCAAAGGAGAGCAACACAAGCAGGTTGCTGTTCTGTGCTGAATGTAGTAGAATCCCTATAGAGTAACCCAGGGTATTGAAATGATAGCTTTCAGGTCTGCTTAAGCAATCTCGAAAGACATATGCATAAAATTTGCAATATCAACACAACCTTTGCTGAACTCTCTGTCCTTTGGCTTTTGCAGTGCCTGCAAAATCATCTTTGATGTCATAGAAAAAGCATCAGTAAATCAAACAGTGGTTACAATATGTCTGTTTTTCCCCCCAAGCTAAACGTTAAATGTCTGCCCAGCAATCCTGAATATATGAGTTATGAGGATGATAAAATATTTCTCTTATTAAGAGCCCAAATCTATTCCTGGAGAAACTGAAATAGTACTGAGCAAGGGATGGACTTTCCTGACACACAGTACGTAATTCTGCTTTTCTGGTTTTTGATGGCTGATTGCAAGAAACCTTCTGTATGCTTGGAGATATATCACAGAAGCTTGTATTATTTTCTTTCTTGGTATCTCAAACTATTTTATCAAAGCCTAAAAGCAGTTTTTTTGTCTGCCCCTAAAAATGATAAAATAGCTCAAAATGAATAAACAGCATGAGCAAAGGATTTTCTAAACATGTCACAAAATGACAGGAAAATAAATGGGTCGGAAGAGTCTTCAGTAATCGGGCATGGTGACTCAACCCTGATACTTGTTTCTTTGGTCCAATTACCAGCAGCAGAATGCTGCAGGCACTGTCCTTCCCATAAGATCCACAAGTGAGGTGACAGCATGAGTCACCTCTGTCATCCACCATCTGGATGAGGGGGCGCAGGGCAAAGAAATAAAGGAGTCCTCCCGTTCAGCTGTGCCCTGGAGGGTCTCTGAGCTGTGGAAGACAATGGCAGACAGAGAGGAACTAAAAACAAAATATTCTGTACTGAAAATGGAAGGAGTATTTTGTTTTGTTTCAATAAAAATTGTTCCATGACAGTTCTTCTTTCCAGCTGGGGAAAACCTGACTCGCTATTATAAAACCCAGTAACTAGCTATAGCCATGCTTTCTTCAAGAAATGAAGAAAAAAAGGCAAAAATGATGGTAAAAGGCAAGAAAACCTGTAAATGCTAACTGTAATGGTTTGACAAGGAAAAAGAGAGCCAATAAGCTCGTCAAATGTTTAAGATTTGTGGGTTAGAACTATGTAGATTGCTCTGAAAGTAATGCCTCCTATTTATTTCCATGGAAACCACAACAGATATAAAGAGCGCAATAACACTATTGGATAGAGCAAATTTTCAGCTACAGAACACTATTTTGCAACACAGCCACCACCATTACCTGTGCATTTTTGCCAGCGATGAAGAAGAGCTGCATGCCACGCTCATAAATCTGCACCAGCAGAGGTGACCAGCTGTCACTGTCACTGCTGCTGAAACACACCACCAGTGCCTCACTGTGCAGTCACTGTTCAGTCTCCATCAGTGTTCAGCAAGTGTCCATGAATGTCAGTGGTGCCATGTTTTCCACATGGAAGAAAAACCCCTTTGCTTTGTATACACTTCCATGTCTGACACCACTCTGTCAGAATGCTCCTCTGCTGCCATCTGTCACACGGCAACCAAATATCATGGGACATTGGTGGGAAGGTTCAATTTCCATTGTCATTCCACCAACATCCGCCTCGTGATATCATGGGTCAACATAATAAAACAGGAGGCATTACTTTTGGAGCAGCGCTCACAATATGTGATTATCACTTTATTACTGAGCTCAGCATCTTGTGTTTCTCAGGCTGGAAGATACAAAGCTGGCAACTCAGATAACATTGCTGACCAGCCTGCTTCACACATCAGGTTACAAATCAAAGTCCTATGATTACCTTTAACTATTAAATTAAGCAAGTCTGACTTTTCTTGCTAAAAGCACTCTTCAGTGGAAGAGTGG